CCCCACCCTATCCGGTCATCTCCGGCATCACTAACAGCGGAATCTAAGTCTCGAAGGTCCGGATTCCTCGATTTGGAGCTCGCCACCTGCTTGGACGAGGAGAGAGCCCTCCTGGTCGCGGTCCGCCGTTCCCTGGAGGATACCGGAGCTCCAGCGTGGAGGGCGCCCCGCTGCGGATCCAGCAGCCGGGCGTCTTCATCGCCACTCCGATTGGGATCCAACGGAAGCTCGTGCCGCGTGCCCGCTGCGTCACCTCAGCCGGTGAGTGCGGCTGAGCAGGTCCCTGGCAGAAGGTTCCGGCGCCCTGGCTCAGCGTATCCCCTGCACTTCCCTGTCCCGCGACATCGGCCTCAGAGTCCGAGGTTAGTGGCGGCAATGCCCAAGGCCATGGATGAGCCGGATGCTGCCACTACGGTGGCGTGCCCAATGTGAAAGGGCGAAGGCTTGCCATGCAGCGGCGGCCTGCGACGAGGATGTCCGTGCCCGGATCCTGGCGAAGCGGCAAACCCAGGCCACCCATGATCTCGCGGTGGATCAAGCCCGGGCCGTTCGTACCCTCGCCGGCCTTCCCCACAAAGAGGAGGATCTGAACATGTTCGGTGACGTGTCTGACACATCCATCTTTGACGCCGAGCAGATCTGCCTGGACCCCTATTGCGTCTTCGAGCACTACTTCCGCAACCACGGGGAGTCGTGGACAAGGACATGGACAAGGGCTAGGTCAAGGGCAGCGGCGGCCATGGTTGAACTTCCTCTCTCGTCCTATAAATTAGAACATGCTAAATTTTGGTAGTCCGATGGCATGTATGATGAGCTTCCTTATGTTATGTCCTAGTTTGATATGTCCTGTATGAACTATGTCCTATGTCCCTGTATGAATTGAACTATGAAAGTATGTGTGTTGATCCACGTTGCATGCTTGTGTATGGATTTGAGGGTTTGGATATGAGGTCGACAGTTGCGGGCGCAGACAAATGAGGGGTGGCCGGCTCTGCGGACATATAGGGGGGCAGATTTGCTCGTTCCGGTTGTACATGCTCTCAAGGACTAGATGATACCAGTTCGATAAACTTTCTTAGACATGATGAAAACATCAACCTTGAAAAGGCCCAAATTAGAAGGGAAAATGGAGGGAAGACACTGGCAGCAGCCTTTTGGGAAATAAGTTCCTGAACCCTGCTTCTATAATTGTACCGACATAGTTCCCAACAGCTAAGCGAGTTTTTTGGGCATGCAATCACCACAGATTTAAGTTCCAGCCTATAATGTGCAAACCCAGTTAAATTATTAAACTTCCCAGGGAAACACCACCGTTCTACATTTCTGGCAAGTGGCAACTGGTAAGTACAACAAAACACTCCCTTCACAAAACAGACATCCTGTTGAACTAAGGCAATTAGTCAAGTTCATTGCAACGTGCAATAGTTTAATTAATCAAAATAGAGCTAATTTTCACATGTATTTATTTAAACCTACAATGGCATGGACACTATTTTACAAATCTGGGATTTAAGTTTATAGTGCTATATGCTTTATCAGCTTAGCATTTAGCACAGCATATCATAAACAAATTGCATAGCTAAAGATAGATCAAACAAAGGTAGCTTGCAAAGAACAAGCAAGATGCAAAGGCTTCTATACCAGAGAAGTTCATGGATCATGACATGTAGACCCATATAAACAGAACAGATCAACTCATAAGTGTAAAAAAAGGTTCAGAAGAGAAATCCGTCAATTGGACATTGACACTCACCATTTATTATCTTGTTCCGAATGAGACTCTGTAGAAAAACACAAACTAGTCTCACAAGTCTGTTTTGCATGTACTTATCCTGCAAGCAATGTTATCAAATAATTTCCTGTCAGTCTTCAACATAATAAAGACAGTAACGTGCATTGCAGAAAATGAAATAATAGAACATTGCGAGAATGAATCTTGTGAATATGGAGTTAAGAATAAGCTTACAGCCATAACATGTTATAAATGCATAGAAACGTTACACAGATATAATATAAAACACAAACGACTCTACGCAGGTAAACATAATGAAGAAATTACTAATGTCTGTCGACCATAAGAGAATTACCACCTAGGGATCAACCAACAAGCATTTACAAGCTGAGGAATAAAATGGCCAAACCGCCATTGTCACTTTCGGGAACGATGATTGAAACTATATACATTTTTATCATAAACTTGCATCAACCAACTATTGTTATGAATCATATTTACTATAGCAATCTGAGATGATCACCTCTGACCTTCCTGGAAGAAAAATGACGTACAAAAGTAAGAACAAACCTTGATATTTTGGCATGACCGAATACAATTTGAGATGTAGTCATGAATGAATCCTGGTGGTAGATCTACTGCTGTAGTAAGCCTGTTTACAACTTCCATTGAATGCAGGCTCATTTCCATGTGCACAAGAACATTGAAATAACTGTCAAATATAAAGCATGTGTGTAAACTGTTATGCTCAGATAAACACATAAATTGAAAATATACGAAATTGACAAAATGAAACATTTGTGTACATACGAATCCATGTCAGGACAATTGATCAGCTTTGAAAGAACATCAACAGCAATGAGTGGATTATGTTCAACAAGGTCCTGAAACAAGGACATTAGTAACCCTTAACATGAAGCATGGAAAGTTTTCAACATGATGTCAAGAGTACATACGGGAAGCTTCTCTGGTGTCATTCCGCAATGATAAACTAGCTTCCAGTCCCTGGCTAAGTCTAAAACAACTTGCTGCAACAAGATATGAGCCATTAGGCATGTAAAATTATCGAAGTAGCCAGTATATTTAGAAGAGTAGGGGTTGTGGTCACTATAAAACAACCAGTGACACATGTAGTCATGCATGCCTAGGTAAACACTTCTTCATTCTATAAAAAAGGTAAAACACTTATTTGGCTGATGCAACCTATGCATGCAAATGTAGATGCTAGTCAGCTATAACCATTTCTGCCTTTCGTGTTTCCATAGATACGACACATTCATTTCGTGGTTATAACACTGACTTTCCTGTTTAGCAGTTTTCATTTATTCCTTTTCGCAATTTAGTCGCCTTTTCCTTCCGTTTTCCTTATTTTAGGAGAACAAAACTGGAGGACCGAACTGAAATAAGCCAATTCATTATTGACTGCAAAATTGTGATGTCATCACAGTAGCTATTGTGTTTGGATCTTCCGATGCAAGATTGAGTAAACAACGTCCTATGTGGTTGTAAACCTAAAGTTAAGCAATTCATATTTAACATTATTTTCCCAATATAACGAAGCATTTGATGATCGAAGTGAACCTGGTACTTCAAATATATATAACCTATCCAACTTAAGAAAGCAGTCAAATATTTCCAACTTAAATATGCATAATCTTTCCAACTTAAGAAAGCGTTTGCTGTAACGGACATACAAAAGTAATAAATCTTTGTGACTTGAATGCTGGCCATAGACCAATAGTTGGCTGGCCCCTCGGCATGAAAAAAAACGAGGCCTAGCCCTTGGAGGTATATTTTTATAGAAGATCTCTAAGCACCAGCGCACTCAGGGCTCGAACGCTGGTGGGCTAGCATGCTCCTTGCATGCTTAGCCAACAGGGTGACACCCTGTTCTCGGCCCCTTGGCATGACAAAGCATTCAGAGTATACACAAGGGTACGGACAGCCATCCTGTGCACTTCTTCTGGATACATCTGAAATTGATGGTAGTTGATTCAAGGGTCCACTATACTAGAGACATGGCGCCATTGAGGTCACCAAGCCACTCATTAACTTCCATGGTTAGCTCTTATGTGCAGTCCTTAATCCCATCCCTTTTAGAGTTCAGGGTAGTGCAAGGCCGAACCACCGAGGTATAAACCGGGATAAAGTTTGGTGCATTGAGATCAAGGGTAAACTCTAAACTCTACAAGTTGCC